TTTTGGTTTTTGTTACTATGAATAATGCTGCCATGAATATTTCAACATTCATTTGAGTCTATACCTGGGAGTAGAACTGCTGAGTTGTAAGTTATGAAAATATTTAACTTTACAAGACAAATGCCAAGTTGCTTTTACAAAGGGATTATAACAATGTATAAACCCACCAACAAGGCATAGAAGGAGAGAGACTGATGGGCCATGTTCTCAGCAATAATTGCAATTGTTAGGCTTCTTATATTTTGTTAATCAATTAGATGTGAAATGGTATCTCATTGTGGTGCTGATTGCAATATCCCCACTGCTAATGAGGTTGAGAATGTCTCTATACATTGGCCATATGTATTTCTTTTTATTTGTAAAACTTCTTTACATATTTGTGATACAATTCTTTAAAAAATAATTTTCTGAGCTATTAGGCCAGGACTGAAATGACTTAAGCACAGCCTATCTTGCCCATCCATTCACATCCCTCCCATCTTTGCTGACTTTTAATCTTGCTGCATTTGACTTCTGACTCCCCAGATTAAGACCCCTGCCAGCCTTGCTTCCCACTGCCTGTCTAGCAACCCTCCCAGCCCTGCCTTCCCAGACTGAGGGACACTTTTTCTATTAAATATGATTCACATAAATCCCAGGTTTGACAAATGCACAGCTAAAGCAAATGGCTAGATTACAGAAGGTCCAATTGCTTGTGCATATATTTGATGCTCAGAATACCCTCATATAGAGAAATCTTCCTCCACTGTGTGTAAAAATTGGAGAGAGAGAGAGAGAGAGAGAGAGAGAGAGAGAGAGAGAGAGAGAGAGAGATTGTTTTAGAAGAGAGTATTTTCATATCCCACTGCTCAAACAGCTGCGTAGAAAGAGCTCTAGGTTCCATTTTGCCCTGGGAGCCTGTGCCCTACTGACTCAGAATTTGGAAAATGGACTGAGCCTCCTTGAGACTCAGTGTCCTCATTTATATGCCTTCCTCATAGGCTTCTAATGAGAATGAGTTGAGATCATGTATGTGAAGCAATTAGCATAAAGCATGGCACAGAGTAAGGCTTTGGTGGGTTAGGCCTGTGACACTGAGCTTCTGCTCCTTCTAGACAAGGTGTGACAGTGACTCTGTTTCTGTCCTTCGGGAACTTTGAAATGTGATACAAATCCTTTCTCATTTATATATATTATAAATATCTTTACCTGGTCTATACCTTGTCTTTTTACTTTCCTTGTAGATACTGTTTGTGACTAAATGGTAACTGTTAATAGTTTACAACTCCGTCCTTCTCAAAAGGACAATAGATCTTGGGCAACAGATCTGCCTCACCCAAATCCTACAGCCAGTAACTAACTCATACTATACAGATATGAGATACTGGCCCACTTCCCTCAAGGCAGTGCAGCTAAAACCGCAACCTTGCTCAGCTCCTTCTCTACCCTATACTGCCTTCCTCATCTCCCTCCAGTTTCCTTCTGAGAGCATGTACTCAATCAATCACTTGCACAAAATTCTCTATCTTAGGTCTTGCTTCTAGGAAATCCAACTTAAGATACTTTCTTTGAGATAGTATATTTTCTGATGAACATTTCTAATTTTAATATAGTCAAATTTCAATCTTTTATGGATTTCATTTCATTATTACTCTTTTATTATTATAGATGAGAGCAGAATACATCTTCAGTCTACAGTGAAAATATATACCAAAAAAATTAATATCTACCAACAGGAGTTGGGAAAGACCTCTGAGACTTTTAGAGGCAGTGAAACTAAAAGAACAAATATTTTCTAGTTGAGAAAGGTAGACAATTCATGGTGTTTCCATATTGAGGAAACACCTTTTGCAAAAGCACAGACTGTAAACCAGCATAGACTACTTTAGAATCTATGGCACACAAAAATGTGACAGCAGGTAAGATCTCAGAAGTAGACAGGGGTCTATTTATAAAGCCTTTTTTATAGAGCACCTTAATTACCACCCTGTGTCTCCAAGCACACTCCCATTCCCTTTGCAGGGGGCTTCCACTTGTTACTGGTTGAAGGGAATAACGACCCACCATTGACCATGGTATTCTAGTTCTTTGGACATAGGGATCAGGATAGAAGTGGGCATGTGATACAAACAGGTCCAATGGAATCCTCTCTTGAGATTAGTATACTTTATAGATGTTGATAGAAAGAAGCCCTTCATTTTTGTTAAAGTTGCTAATCTGGGGTTGAGGACAATCATGTTTCCTGCTACTTGGAAAACACCTGAACGCAGTAGTAGAAAATAAAGCCTAGATTAACAGAAAAGAGAGAGAGAGAGAAGAAATGTGAAACTCACATGAAAAAAGTTAGGGTAGCATTGAACTCCCAGTTTTATTACTTGAGTCTCTGTTTCCTTCAGATCTTGAGGTTTTTCTTCAATTCTATTAGCTACCCATATTTCTTCTCAGGAATATAATGCGATCAATGATCATTTTTATTAGAGATTCTGATATTGGGTCTGATATTTTCAACTGAGAGAGAATTAACTAAAGCAGGCAATGACTTATGCCTGATGACAATAGTGAGCCATCAAAGGGCTTTTCTCAGGGGAGTATCATGGTTAGATTTGCTTGATGCCCACAAGGTGGGGAGTCTTTTCCAGGGGGTCAAGAAAATAAAGTAAAAGCAAAAATAAAAATAAATGGAACAGGAAACTGATAAAGGATATGGCCTGTATCTTCTTGATTACCAGTCCTTTCCACTCTTAAATTAGTCAGACTCAAATATCTACCTGTGTCAAATGGTTTAATAACACTAAAATTCTTAAAGAAATGTTGATACACATTTTATTTTTAAGAAACAGTAAAAAAAACTTTTAAAAACATGTATTCTTGTTAGCTATAAGTTATTAGAGACCATTATAAAAAATCAGAAAAATTTAAAAGTTTTAAGAAAATTAAAGAAAATAATTAAAGAAAATTAGTTCTTAATTAAACAACAATTAAAGAAAAATAGTTAAAAATGTACTACTGTCTAATCTGCCAGGCTCATAGAAATGTGGAGGTCTTGTTTTACAAAATACAATTTAATTTATCCCATTTTAACCAAATATTATACCATAAATAATGTTCTATATAAAATATATTTTGAATATGTGATTGCTACCTTTCATAGTGTGGATGTATTATATTGCTTTAACCACTAGTCTGTCTTCTAGAGACTGGCTGATTCCAATTTTCATAATTTTAAAGAATGCTGCCATAAGTATCCCACATATAGATCTTTTTCTGCACTTTATATTTTGGGTTGGATAAATTCCTAATGGAATTACTGGGACAGAGGTTATATACATTTTTAAGACACTTTCCACAAGAGAACTTTTCAAATTAGACTATATGCTTTATTGCAGTGGAATATGACAAGTCTGGAATGACAGATGATCCCAATTCCCAGAATTTTGCAGCACTCAAGGTGCAGGGCAATCAGAGTCATCTGCTCTTCTGCATTGTGCCATCATATGATAGACTGATTTCTCTTCTCCCTCTACAGTTTTTTTTTTTATAAAACAATGCAGGGTTTTTTTTTTTTTTAAATATATTTTTATTGATTTCAGAGAGGAAGGGAGAGAGAGATAGAATTATTGATTGGCTGCCTCCTGCATGCGCAACATGGGATCGAGCTGCAACCCGGGCATGTGCCCTGACTGAGAATCAAACCCTGACCTCCTGGTTCTAGGTCAACACTCAACCACTGAGCCATGGTGGCCAGGATACAGTGTTTTTGACTGATACAAACTCTTCCAAGATTTCCACATATGAACAAAATATTCCAAGAAACACAGAACTTAAAGGGCAGGTGAAAGGGGGATACCTGCAATTATATTAACATTAAAATTTCTTAATAAAAAATTAAATTATAAAAGGAAACACAGAACTTGAGATTTGGAGTCCCCCCTGAATTTTAAATGTTACTTTGAGGGTGAAGTGGAATGTAGTGTCATTTCTCTTCCTGAAGACAGGAAATGGATTCTACAGTTCAAAGTCCTTTATTAAGAACTAACTATACCAAAACTCTCACACAGGTGACCTCATTTAATCTCCCCAAAGCATTTGAGAATTTGAGCAGTGTATCAGAAAACACACAGGATTTGCAACCAGCCTCACTTGTGACTTGAAAGGCAAATCCATGTTTCATCAATGAATTGCTTGTTGTGTGCCTTGAATTACCTTCTGCAAGTTATTCATTTCTCTGAGTTAAAGATATCCTATATAATAAAGAGGGAATATGCAAATTGACCGTCATTCTGCCACAAAAGATGGCAGCGCCCACAGTGGAGGCAGAGGGTTTCCATAACACAAGATGGCTGCACCCACAGCGGAGGCCGAGTTCCCATAACAAGCTTTAACAAACAATCAGCAGGGACCTGAGGCTGCGCTCCCCCCAACCCTCCCCCATGGGGCTTGACAGAGGACCTCAGGCTGCTCCCCCCACCCTGGTGCCAGGCCGGGGGACCTCAGGCCATGCCCCCCGCCTGGTGGAGCTTGAAGGGGGACCTCAGGCTGTGCCCCCTGCCTGGCGCTGGGCCAGGGGATCTGAGGCTGCGACCCCACCTGGTGGGGCTTGACAAGGGTGAGACCGACCAAGTCTGGATCTTGCCCAGTGGGGGTGGGGCCGGCTGGGTCTGGGTCTCTCAAAATTTCAACCCAGGGGACTTGACCCTGGGTCCCATGGTGCACCCCAGACTCTGACAGGAATATTTTCATATACATTTTACTAATTTTCTTTCATCTCTGACACTTCTATTATAGAGAAAGAGCAAATAACAATATTAAAATATTTCCTCTAATTAATCCCCTTTTAATGTGCACGAATTTCATGCACTGGGCCACCAGTTTTATCTATAAAATCATTGTGATATGAATAAATATATTACTGGGTGGATATTTTAAGTACATGAGAAATGCAGGTAAGGCAATTAGCATAATGCATATCTCTGTCTCAGTCTGGGTCCCCAAGGTCAGAACCTGAGGCATGCTTACGGTTTATTCTCCAAGCTATCTTCAGGAGCAGAGGTGAAGGTTCAGGGAAGAAGGGAAAACTGGTATCAGGATGTTACTGAGTTGGTCACTAGTGAAGATGACTGGTCCTTGATCTTCTGTCCCTGGAGTAATATGAAATGCAACTTAGAACTAGGTCCCAAAGGAAAAAATGGAGAACATTTATTCATCAGCACTTATTCCCCCACTAGCCAAGGAAAGCTCTAGGGCATACTTATCCAGGGAGTTCCTGCCACCATCAGAATAACTTCAGCAAGCTCTATGAGGGGCAAGGGGCAATCTTTTCCTTTTCTTCATCATTTTTCAAATTGTTTATATACTCCTAAAAATATATTGTTTGTATTTTATATAAATGGGATCATGTCAATGAGTTTTTCCGTTATCCAGTAATGCTGATGTATGTTGCTTCAGTTGATTCAGGTTTTTACTGCTATGCATTAATACTTGCATTAGTAAACTTCAATGTATTTAGCCACCCTCTTGCTAATGGAGTTGTTTCCTCTGGCATTCATTGTTGTTGTTTTGTTTTTGCTCCTTTATTGGCTATTACCAACTAATGAACATGTTTCTACTTGACTCTTTGGACACATGTGCAAGGGTTTCTCTAAAGTATAAATCTGGGAGAGGAATTTCTTATTAGGAAGATAGTTGTATCTTCAAGTTACAAGATAATTCAAAATAATTGTTTCCCAAATAGGTGGTAAAATGTAAATAGTCACCAACAGTAATATGAGTTGTTACATTCTACGTTTTTATCAAAATTTGGTATTAGCAGACTTTAAAATTTATGCCCTTCTAGGAAATAAAATATGGTATATTTTATAAAATAGTTAAATGTATAAAACTTTATTTTTGTGGTAGTGCTTTTGTGTCTTGTTTATGAAATCTTCTCCTACCCCAAGGTAACATAGATAGTCTCCTATATTATCTTCTAAAATTTTATAGTTCTCTTTCAAATTTGAGTCTTTAATCTGAGATTGATTTTTGTATATAGAGAAATAAATATAAAGCAAACTTATTTTTTTCTGATATAACATACAGTATCATTAATTAAGTAGTCTGTTTTTTACCCAATGACATGCACTGCATGTTTTGTTACATATTAAGTTTCAATACACTTATGAGTTGGTTTCTGCTATTTCTAATTTCATTGGTTTATTTGTCTGCTCCTAAACTAAAACAACACTATTAATTATTAGTGCTTTATATAAGGAACTTGCTATCCAATAGGTCATGTTCCCCACGTTCTGCTTTTTTTCCCCTCAAGAGTATGTTGGCTTATTTTAGTTTTTCCTCCTTCATAAAAATTTTAGAATCAATCCATCAAGTTGTTCAAAAGCCTTGGTAAGATTTTCACAAGAGTAAATAAATTTGAGAAAACTTGACAGTTTTAAACTTTTGAATCTTCCTACCCATAAACATCTACACTAATAAAAGAAAAGCATGCAAATTAACCATCACTCCACCACTCTGCTACACCCACCAACCAATCAAAGCAACTATGCAAATTTACCCAACAAAAATAGTGGTTAATTTGCATATGCAGGCATGGACTCTGCTCAAGGAGGGGCTGGGGGCCTGGGTCACCAGGGGCAACCCAGGCTTCCAGCCAACCCTGGCCTCTGCTTGAGGAGCTGGAAAAAAAAAAAAAGAAGGGGCTGGGAGCAGCCAGAGCAGAGAAGCCAAGCCTCGCTGCTGCGGCGGACCAAAGGCCTGGGTCCCAGGTGCTGGAGGAAAACTGGTGCCGGCAGCCAGGGGAAGGAAGGCCTATTGCATGAATCTTTGTGCAATGGGCCACTAGTGTTATATATAATGTTCAGTTGTTTTAGATCTCCTTTTATTCTCTTATATTACATTTTATAATTTTTCCTTTAAGCCTTGAACATATTTTTTAGATTTCTTCTTATATGGGTGCATATGTTTAGATAACATTTATTATTGTTATATAATTTTTAATGTTAATATTATAACTCATTGGTAAAGCACAGAAAGACAATGAATTTTACAGATGATATTATTTTGATCAATGCTGGAAAATTTCCTGATAATGTCTGTTAGTTTATAAATACATTCTTTCTATTTTATAGGGAAACAATCAGTGTATGTGTGAATATTGATGGCAACATTGTGTCTTCTTTTTCTATATTTATGCCTTTTATGTTTTGTTCTTGTCCTGAACTTATAGAAAATAATTGATAACAAATGGTTATGGTGAACCTTTTTGTCTTGTACATATTTTAACATTTTTCTATTAAATGTCCCTTTGTTGATATCAAATGGAAAATAAAAATACAATTAACATTGTTTTGAAAAATCACCATATATTTAAAAATGTAGATATTTTCTCCTCAAGATTACATTTAATCTTCACCGCAATTCTTGATGTAGGTATTATTACACACTCTTTTGGATGAAGAAACTGGAATTTACAAAGGATAATTAATAGGTTCAGGACTTCACATTTGAATTGCCCTATCTGATAAAGGGAAGAAACATTGTTAGTGAAATTACGTGAGAGATATTAATCTCAGTAAATAGAACTCTCTGGTTTTCATTAATAAGTGGAGGATTAATGGATGAGGTAGGACTTACTCTGTGAAGATGAGGCAATGCAGCCTGGCCAGGTGGCATGGTGGTTGAACGTCCACCTATAAACCAGGAGGTTGCAGTTCAATTCCTGGTGAGGGCACATGCCAGGTTGCGGACTCGATCCCCAGTGTGGGGCATGCAGGAGGCAGCTAATCAATAATTCCCTCATTATTGATGTTTCTGTATCTCTCTTCCTTCCTCTCTAAAATCAATAAAATAAAATGAAAAGATGAGGAAATGCACAGTATTCACTGGAGCTTTTGAAGTAATCTCTGACACTGAAGTCTAGAGATCCTAACCTTTGAACTCAAGCAGACTGTGATTAGTGTCCCAGAGCTAAGGATGTGAATTGTTGCAAATTTATATTCTTTTTATTATAACTTCTTTTTCTTTAAATCTTTATTGTTGAAAGTATTACATATGTCCCCCTTTTTTCCTGTTGACCCCTTCTAGCCAGCCCCTACCTTCCTGTCCAGGCCTTCAGCTCACTATTGTCTGTGTCCATGGATTATACATATATATGCATACAAGTTCTTTGCTTGATCTGTTCCCAGCCAACCATCCACTGCCTTTTAACTTCTTTTTGACATGATTTTAGATTTTAAAAAATTTTAGAGGACTAGTACAATGAATTCCTCTATGCCTTCTCCCAAAGTCTTTAAATAACACCTTTGCACATTTGTTTTACCATGCATGTACATATGTACACACACATTCTTTTTTGAACCATTTCAAAGTAAGCTACAGACATAATGACCATTAATAATTTAGTGTGTGTTTTCTAAAAATGATGGTATTCTGTTACATAAACATAGTACAATTACAAAATTAGGAAAATTATATTGATTGATTCTATTATCAAATCTTCAGATTTCATTCATATTTCCCCATTTGTCCCCATATCAAAAGAAAATCCTAACTCACATGTTACATTCAGTCTTTGATTTTCATGACATTGACATTATTGAAAAGATACATTTTAGAATGTCCCTCATTTCTTATTTTTCTCATGATTAGTTTCAGGTTATGCATTTTTTACAAGATATTCCAGAGGTGATGTGTCCCTCTCAGTGCATAAGGTCAGAAGAAACATATTATTTGTGAAATATATTTGTAATTAATAAGTATCATATAGTATAATACTTTTGGGTCCTGGTAGATATCTTAGTCCCATCAATGTTTCACTCACTAGTTTTATAAATAATTTATGATTTTTCCTTTAATGAATGAATACCATGATGCTTGCCAAATGGTGATTTTCTTTTTAATTTCAACATCCTTTCATCATTTATTAGATGCACCAGAAGTAATCCAAGGAAGTTTTGTTTTTTCCAATTTATTTCCTTTGTTATTAATTTAAATCATTCTGTATATATGTATAGAGTCCATATTGTAACTTTCTTAACCTTCATGAGCCTTAGTTCTTCCTCTGTTAAATGGCAATAGTAACGTTGGCCACTTAGATTTGCTGTGTAGATTAAATAATATATGTAAAGTTTTCAAAATCATAAGCATCAAATAAATCAAAGCTATCAGTATTTTTAATGGTATTAATAAAATAATAGTCTAAATATCTCTTTTCATATAATGAAAAGATTTAGGTTCCATCTATTTTTAGTCTTTTATGATCTTGGGCAAGGCACTTAACCTCTTTTGGTCTCATTTTCATTACCTATAAGACAATGGAGTTCAGTTACATGGTCTCTAAATGCAATTATAGTACTTATGTAAGAAACTAAGATTCTGTACCTATAAAACATTTGTATATAAGTCCCTTTTCTTCCAACAAGCTGGCAGATTGGCAGATACATATCTTCCATATAAATATATATATATATATATATATATATATATATATATATATATAGTCTTCCATAATTCTTAATGTTCTTCCTAAAATGTCAAAGAATATATATGTGATCTCTGAATAAACTTTTTAAAATTTCATTTCATCATACTTTATATTTTACTAATATTAGTTGGTCACAGTTCTTTTCCAACCTTGCATGATTTTTGACAAAATGTGAAATAGCTAAAGACAGATGGCTTGCAACTCCAACTGTTGGGATTGGTTTTCCTTTGCCAGCAATGTGCATGCTCCCTTAATGAACTGTGGCCTCAGACCACATGATGGTTCTGCTTTACATAATCAAAAATAATTCAAACTTTTAAAATGTACTTTTAAAATATATATCACATCGTGAAGTGTGACCAGGCGATAGCTTGGAATTTTGTTATAGGTAGTATTGCACAAGACTTTTCATATTGTGGAAATGAAGAATTTATCAGTGGAAAGCTAGTAAATATATTACTCTCATTATGAAACATTTCCCATAGAGTGATTGTCCAAATTAGTGGAAAAGGCCCTGGTCATGAAATTTGAATATCAGAGCTTAAATCTTATTTCTTATTAGTCCTGTGAGCTGGGCTAAGTTATTTAAGTTCTCTGAGTTTGAATTTCTTCTTATGTCAAACTGGAATAACATGACACATCTCATAGAGATATTTTGAGAATAAATAAGTCCATTTCAGTGAAAGCACCTATCATATAAAGGGTGCTTAATATGTGTTCAATAAATAAGAAAAAAAGTAGGATAAATAAGATCCAGGATGGCCAGAACACCCATCTTTAGCACTGTCTACAAACTCTTGAAAATGTGGCAACAGCTTTGTCTTTTGGTCATCACCAACTCATTGAGAGTCAAATATCTTTAGTTTTCTCTTTAAATTGTCTCCCTAATGCATTATTTTTAAAAAGGGATCACCTTGAATATAAGCACATATGCAAGAAATATTAATTCTCAATTTTCACAATGCTTTATAGTTTACAAAGTTCTATTCTTCATAGATTATTATCAAAACAACTGGAGGCCCAGTGCACAAAATTGTGCACTGGTAGGGTCCCTAGTGGCTGCTGACCAGGGCCTCCTTCCCCCGGCCAGCCCCGCTCCCTGGTTGAACTCCCAGATGAACTCCCAGTGAAGGGGACAATTTGCATACTACACTTTTATTATATAGGATTGTGTAACAATGAAAGAAGAAAATAATTGATTTTCCAAAGTTATATAACCATGTTGGTTTTAAACCCAAGAACTTTGACTTTGAATCCAACATACATTTCACTGCATGCATCGGACATGCTGTGTGACTATCGGTATACTCACTGAAAAGTATGAGCAGTAGGACAATTCACTTTCTCCAATCCTGAAAGAAGAAAGGCAAAGATCAAAAAAAATTTGAGCACCCATCCATTTGGAACTGCTAAGGGAGAGAACAATCATCACTTGAGAGTCCTTTGGCTTCTCCCTGCTGGAGAAATGGGACCTATTCAAATACCAGTCAGACAAGAGGAGCAGCCAAGCCTTGGTAATCACCACATGATAATTGGATTTTCTGGATTAAAATGTTTTTATGCACATTTTTACACAAATTAATCATCAATATTCTAAATCAGGGGTTCTCAATCTGAGCCTATTTTGTCCCCAGGGGACATTTCACAATGTCTGTAGTTACTTTTGTTAGGACTGGGTGGGAGCTGGGGGTTGCTACGGATACTACGAAATATCCTACAATATACAAGACAGTTCCCCAAACAAAGAATTATCCAGTCAAAATGTCAGTAGTGCTAAGGATGAGAAACTCTGCTCTAAAATGTATTCTGTTACTAAGTATTACAAACGATATTTCCAGTTGGTATACCTATGCTATTTGGTTACAAAGAACTCCCACCAAAACTGTCCATGGCCCAAGAGCCTCAGGTGCTTAACAGTTGCAAGATTTCTTGTGGGTTCAATTTAGTTCACCAAAAACTTTAATATTTGCCTACTGTGCTTGAGGCACTATTGAGAAATATGTAAATAATTATAACATGTTCTATACCCATCAGGAACTTATAATTTATTAAATGTGGCAACTTCCTAGAGAATAAAAACTATGTACTTCCAGTACCTACATAAGAGGTCTTAATAAATATTTTTAAATAAAGAAGTAAAGCCTATCAGTAATTTTTCAAAAGCTTCTCAATTTTCTTCAAGTCCCACACCCAACTTCACCTCCTCACCTCTGTTTAAGGACTTGCTTATACTTGATAGAGAAATTTGAGGCCATCTGTATTAATCACCTTAGGCTCTGGTCATTTGTATTTGTACCTTTAATCCCTTCCCCTTTCAAGTCTGGAAGAATGAGGTGTTTCTCATGCTACCCAAGCCAACTCTTCTGCTCCATTTGTTTCCTTAGCTCCCTCCCACTATTTTACCATCTTCAAGATGATCAATAAAGTAATACATAATTTATGCAAAAGACAAGATTCAGTGGTCCATGAATGTAGTTCTTATATCCCCTCTCCAGTTCAAGTCTCTCCCATCCTGAAACATAATATCCTTTTAACCTATACCAACCTTTATTTGTTCCTTCTTGTTTGAGCCTATTTCTGTTTTCACTTTTTATTTTCCATTTCCTTAGCATTCAGATATCTGATTCTGCCTCTACAACTCACTGACATTGCTCTTAAAGATGATGATCTCCATGTTGCAAAATTCAAAGAACTAGCGATTATTATACATTTTGAAGCATGTGCCCTTTCCTAAAAAAATGACAACATACACCCAGGCACAAACATTTTTCATACTTTCAAAGGATTGACTAACACATCGATTGACCCCCAGTTAGAAAGCACTGCAGTTAACAGAATTTAGTCCTCACTGGAGAGCGCTGGAGCCTTGGACATTGTTTTATCTCCAATGGATGCCGGGGGCCAGGGAGAAGAAGACATTCTTGCCGGGGTCCAACCCCAGCAGGTCCAGAGGTCCCCAAAGGTGTGGATGGAGTCAGCAAAGAAGGAATGACACAGAGACAGCGTTCAGTTGATCAGCAGCCTAGCCAGGATCTCTAGCCAGGATCTCCAGCCAAGTTCTGGTCTGGATCTCCAGAGAAGTTCTGCTGTTTATTGTCTTGTTACATCCGTATTTATCCCAGTTGATTTTAATCCTGTCAATTTCTATTACAAAGGTTAGGGCGTTTCTTATCTCCATTCCAGGGAGTAAAGATTATGTAGCTTAAGCATGATTGTTTGTAGTGATTAACTACCCGCCTGGCACTTAGTTAAGGAGTTTCATCCCCTCCCTGACTTCAGGGAAAAATTCCTACCTGGGGAAACAACCTTTCTAGGAGAGGCATCCCCTCCCTGACTTCAGGGAAAAATTCCTACCTGGGGAAACAACCTTTCTTGGAGAGGTGACCTTGGTTAAAACACACAGCGCTAAGGGGAGCAAACATATTAAGAACAGTATGCTATATACGCCAGGTCCCTTGAAACATATGCTGTGCAGATGTTTCTTTCCTGCAGCGACTGTGTCAAGCAGCAAGGATGGACCGGCTTCCGGCACATTCTGCCATTAGTTCTTTTTTTCCCCTTTTTTCTTTTAATTTATCTTTATTGTTGAAAGTATTACAAATGTCCCCTTTGTTGTTTTTCCCATTGACCTCCCTCCAGCCTGGATCTACCCTTCCCAGGCCTTCACTATACTATTGTTTGTGTCCACAGGCTATGAATATCTATATATCTATATATCTATATATCTATATATCTATATATCTATATATCTATATATCTATATATCTATATATCTATATATCTATATATCTATCTATTTATATATATATATATATATATATATATATATATATATATATATATATATATAAAAGGCTAAGTGACCGACCAATCCGTCTGTCCAACCGCCTGACAGACCGACCAGCTGGTACATATGACACACACTGGCAATTTAAAAATAAACGTTGACTTGCACATCCTTGATACATATAAAGCTCTCACTGGTGCCAATCACATGTGTGTTTTAATTTTATAATACTGTGTCATATATTATATATACTATTTTGACATGTAATTTTTTGCAGCAACATAATTACCACACGAATCTTTCTTCTACTTAGTTTCCTTTCGATGTGCATAAATCCATGCAACAGGCCACTAGTATGCATATAAATCCCCAGGTTAATCTTTCCCAGCCCACCCCACTCACCCCCACCTTCCCTATGAAATTTGGTTCTTAAGCACCTATTCTACTCCAGATGCTGTGTAGGATACACATAGTGATAATAGAACAGGATCTCTATCTTCAGTAAACTCACATTAAGTATTGCTTGAGGAAGGCATGAGCAGCTTTGACATTTCAAACCTGAATACCTGGTAACCTGTTAGTAGCATTCATTAAAAAGGGGAACCAAGAAAGGAATCCATGCTCACCACTATACTAACACTACTTAAAAGGAGACCCAAAGAAAAAGATGGAACTCAAGCAGGAAGTTTGGCCTTGGACTTATTGTTATTAAGATTAAACAAGAAAAATATCCAGGTGCAGAAATAGGTGAGGGGAAGGGTGGGAGCAGTCTAGTGTTCATAAGGGAGATGTTTTCCTGCTGAGGAGAATCTGAGGCTCAACTTTTATTTGAATTAAGGCTCAAATTAAGTAAAATTTCAATTAGTTTTCCTGTCAATAACCTCCAGAAAGAAGGAAATATTCAGCATTTGGGTAAGAAATTCAAAATTTAAGCAATTGTAGGATGTGGATATAGTTATGGTCATTGAAGTAAGACAGATAATATGGATCTAAACCTATGCTTGAGATCTTAAGCAAATATGTAACTTCATGAAGTGATCATTTTCTCAACTACAAAATGGGGATAATAATAATACCTAACATATTAGTTGAGAGAATTTCTAGTGAAATTATGCATATGACAGGCAATATAATATATTGCACATAATAAAGAGTGATCAAGTTATGTTGATATAATTATTTTTACTACTAGAATTTTAATTAAATGCCCTTTTATAAAGTTTTGAAGACCAAGAAGCCAAATATGAAAAGTTCTCCCAAAATAAATATTTTTCTTATGTTTAACTTCATATTCTGGAAAAAGAGCCAATTTTTTTTAATAAACTATAATTTTCTGGCATCAATTACTTTGAATGTTCTGTACTTTCATCTATACATAGGACGATGGTGATTTATATCCAGATTTATGAACCTAGGCTCTCAGAGTTTCTCAGTTATTAAAAAAAATTAGTTTAATTTAATGAAGACAATTCAATCATACATTCATTCATTCATTTGTTTATTCAACACACATTGGATGCTCTCTATATGCGAGGCACTGTGATAGGTATTGGAAATACAGACTAGGAATAAGGCTTTGTCTTCACCAGGTTTACAGCCTAGTGAGGAGATTTTAAAAAATTACTTTACTAATGTGGAATTGCCAAGTTTGATAAGTACCATGGATACAAGGTACAGCGAGTTATAACATCATGTTGTAAGGAATCTGATCTCTTTGGAAATTCAAAGAAAGCCTCCATGGAAACGTGATGATTGAGCTGTGCTCCAAAGAGTCAGTTGAATGATAGAGGGAAGGGGAAGAGTTTTCCAAGCAGAAGCAAAATAGCATATGTGAAGATTCTGCACAAGGAGGGTGCTGTGTAACTTATAGAAGGAGAAAGAAGGGGAATCAATTCCGACCACTTAGTAGATGTGGCAGCAATAGGGGAGCATCATTTGGATCTTCATTCCGAAGAGCTTTCTCTGAGAAGCGTGGCTGCCTGGCAGCCTCCAGCCAATGCACTTTGGACCCCACAAAGCGTTCATATTTAGTCAAGGTTTTTGCCAGACTTCTCCCAACCAATGACTAAGTACAACAGGGATTCTAAAGCCAGGCCGTTCCCACTTGATATGAGACACTTCTAACAGAACACCTTTGCTTAGAGACTTCTCATCAGCCTGGCTAATATTTTCTCAGAGTTGCACTGTAGTCTGAGGCTCTTCCTATTTATCCCCCTTCCCCCACTTTCTCTTCTTGCAGCTTGTAGGTATCTGCACAGTCACCTAAAGGCTCATTCCCCTTTCCCTTTATCATTCGCACACTTTAGATCAATCTCCCATGTACCATTTTCATTATACAACATACCATTTCTGGACCCACCTGACTTAAAATTGGTGGCTCTGACATGACCAGCCCATAATGGGTATTTCCAGGACCATGTTATTTTGGTGTCCCACAAGCAAGTCTTCTGTTTCTATTAGGACCTAGTAACACATAAAGAACTATTTCTCAAAATAAATGGTGTTTCTATTACAGATGGCATTGCCTTGCTCCAGAATCTCAGGGTCCTATGTTGTGATTCTCTCAACAGGGTTTACCATAAACTTCCTACTACATCCTTTCCACCACTGACACGATTCCATAGGATCTGTACAAGGAATATGTACTGAAGCCTGCACCTCAAGAATGATCTCAAGACCATCAAGAATGTGTTGGTGAGAGAAACATCAGCATCACCCAAAAGTACACTGTGGCTCTCTCTAAAGGCTAGTTCTGATGGCATGAAAGGGGTATGATGAAGGCCCTATTACCTGAGGTGACAGTATTTAAACACCAGAAGCCAGAACCACTGTGATCTGGGCATTCTCTTCCACTAGATATCTTTCTAGGTCCACACTAGTGAAATCATCAACAATTATAGTACAATAGTATGCCAGGAATCTGTCCCTCACATTCCACTCAGGATATGACCTCCTTGCCAGTTGGTCATGAGTGAACCAGTTCCCAAATTTCTGTTTTCTCAAACTACTCTCAAGATCGCTGTGTTTTGTTTGTTTGTTTGATTGATTATTTGCAGTTTTGTTCATCCATGAAACAGTCATCAAAATGAATTTGATGAACAAAGGGTTATTGGGGAAAATGTGAATCTACATTGTAGCCAATTTAAGTGTAGACTTGAAAAATAGCAGGAAGGGAAAAATCTTCACTCTGGGCTATGAGCGGTAAACCTGTTCATCTACACCAGTGGTCAGCAAACTGCAGCTCGTGAGCCACATGCGGCTCTTTGGCCCCTTTAGTGTGGCTCTTCCACAAAATACCACGTGCGGGCGCGCATGTCCAGTGCAATTGAAACTTCGTGGCCCATGCACAGAAGTAGTTTCCAGCGTGGGCGAGCCTATTTTGAAGAAGAGGCTTTAGAAGAAGTGAGAGGTGTAGGTCGGTTGGGCAACGGGAGACACAGCGCAGGTGGCCTGCGGGATACACAGCACGGGGGAGGCGCACTTGATTCATGCACGAGTTGAGTTAGACTGGCTACAAGACGAGTGTGGATGGGAGAGTTGGAAGGGGTAAACCTCAGCGAACGTACCTCAATCAGATTGAGGACTTTTTTAGCAAAGGCCAGCTTAGGAGTATCCTAATTAAGTTAATAACAATGTACCTATCTATATAGTTTAAGTTTAAAAAATTTGGCTCTCAAAAGAAATTTCAGTCATTGTACTGTTGATATTTGGCTCTGTTGAGTAATGAGTTTGCTGACAACTGATCTGCACTATGTGGAAGGAAAAGTGAAAATATAAAAATCATCCTGGGCAATAGTTAACTATCTGACCAGATCATAGGAACCTTAATGGCAAAGCCTGGAAGATGAGAGACAGGGAGGCCTGAGATAGAGGTATGTGAGTGCCTATATGTGAGAGACCACTAAGTATGAAAAGTTTTGTTTACACATTAAATCACACCAGAAAGCATCCACCGGGGAAGAGGCGTTGAAGAACAAAGTACACAAAATGACTCAGCCAGTGGCATAAGCCAGCCTTGATAGTCAGCTGCCCCAAAACTGGTATGATGGACACATCGATGGACACATCAATGGAGGCCATGCATGAGTCAAATAGCATGGATTATGGATTACCCCTCTACCAAGGTTGACCTAGTTTTTGTTGACTCTAAATGTCCAACACAACCAGCCATTTCAGAGAAAGTTAACTAAATTGGGTCGCTTCCATCCTAGATGGACCAGCAGCCCATCCTCAGAGGAATAGATAGATATCTATTTTATGGGTTGACTTTTCTATTTGCAGAGCTTTAGCCAGCACTGTAATACAGGGACTTATACAATGTCTGATTCACAAGCATGAAATATCAGGCAGCATAGCACCTGTCAAGAAATCACTTCACAGTGAAATGGGCTCAGAAGCGAGCCCATGACAGTGGGATTCAGTGGTTGTATAGGGGCAAAAAGCAACTATAACACTTTTAAGTTAATTTGTTTATATAATTACCCTTGCATTTACATAGCTCCGAAAGGAGTCACATACCTATTTATATCAGGAAATTCAGGTAAGAGTTGATGTCTTGAGTTTGAAATGCACAGGGAAGGCCAGCAAGCTAGAAACTGTTAGGATTTCTGCGTTGCAGTCTTGAAGCAGAATTCCTTCTTCAATGTTTTTGCTCCCTTTTCATTTTACTATAAGCAAGAAGGAGAAACTAATCAGTACCCTTAACACTTGCTGAGAAATCTCCTCAGCTAAATATCTGAATTTACCACTTATAACTTATTCTTTTCACCCTATAGAGTAAAATTCAAAGCCTCTGCCATTTTATAACAAGAATCACCTTTCTTCTAGTTTCTAAAAACATGTTCCTTGTTTCCATCTGAGACCTAGTAAGGAAATAAAAAGCAACTTTAATATACATATTTCTACCAATAAGCTCTTCAAGTCAACAAAGGCTTTTTCTATCAAGTGCTTTAGAATTCTTCCATCTTCTACTCATTACCAGTTCCAAAGCTGCTTCCACAGTTTTAGGTATTTGTTATAGTAGCACTCCACTCCCCAGTGCCAAAATCTATGTTAATATCCTAGGGCTTCACCCAGCCACTGTGGCTCATTGGTTGAGCATCAATTTATGCACCAGGAGATTACCAGTTCAATTCCCCATCAGGGCACATGCTTGGATTCAGGCTCAATCCCCAGCAGGGGCCATGCGGGAGGCAGCCAATCAAGGATGTTTCTCTCTCACCATTGCTTCTATCTCTCCCTCCCATTCCTCTCTCTCTAAAAATCAATTAAAAAACATATTTCAAAAAATGTCCCAGGGCTTCTGTAACAAAGTACAAATAAAAATGGGAGATTTAACAGAAATTTATTGCCTCAGTTCTGGAGGCTAGATTTTTCTCAAAGCCCACATTATTGGCCTGACAGATGTGTGCTGGTTTTCAGGAGTAAATAGCATTTACTGAAGTCTCTATTATTCTGCATAAGATGTCTGACATTCTATTAAAAATTACAAGAACACAAAGAAAACAACCCATCATCAAGAGGAAAATCACTTTAACAGTATCAAAACCAGGAAGGCCCCAAGTGTTGGGCTTAAATAACTGTGATTAATATGTACATAATTTCATGGAAAACATATGAACATTATTGGGAAATTTCAGCAAAGAAATGAAAACCATGAGTCAAATGGCAATATGAGAAATAAAAAATGACTGCATTCGAGATGAAGAATTCCTTTGTCAAGCTCATCATTAAATTAGACAAAGCCAAGGAAAGAATCAGTGAGTATAAGGATAGATCAACTGGAAATTACCACAAAGAGAAAAAAAAAAAAGTTAAAACAAATTAAAAACATAAAAAACAAACAGAAAAACAGACAGAGCATCTAAGAGCTGTGTGACAATACCACGAGTCTAGCATATGTGTAATTGGAATGTTGAAGGAGGAACAAAATAGAAATAATGATTCAGAAAAAAATACTTGACAGAATAAAAATGTTGCAAATAAATAACTAAGTAAATAAATAAATAACGAAATCAAGCCACAGATCCAAGAATCTCAGAGAACCCCAAGCAAGACAAATACGAAATACCCCATTCTGCCCATTCTCTCAAAGGCAGTGATGTAGCCAAAGTAAATGCCCATATTTTTATTGATGAGGAAAGGCTGAGTGTTCTGTCTGCATTCACATAAGTTGTATGGAGGCAGAACTCTGAAGGTTACCAAGGGCTTCTTTGCTCCATCTGCCACTTGGTTCCATTTGCCACCTCTCCTACATACTTGTTGTGCAACCACGGTCTTATTACTTAAATCTCATTTCTTCATTTTTTAAAAACAGTCTAATAATACAGGGTTGTTTTCAGAAAATGTATTTAGAGGACCTAGCACCAAACTTGGCATGATTCGGTACTCTCTGATTCCCATGACTTAGTGCTGTGGGACCATCTGTGAATCAACTCTCTGAGTTACCAGTAGGAGGTAAGGGTGGGTTTCTCCTATTCTTAGATCTCCCATGTATCTGAGGTTCTATGGTTTTTGTTCCCTATTGTGGCTGGAGGCTGGAGGAAAGGGGAAAACAGGGCAGGTGTTCAGTGATGACTAATTTTTGTATTTTACATCTTGAAATGTTCTCTTCTGTCCTAGCTTGGAGAATCATATTTATCTAGTGTGCTTATTTCCTGGGGGTGAGCATGGGGAAAAGGGGTTGGGTAAAATCCTCCCCGGCCTCATCTTTTTCCAAATCTTTCTTTATTCCACCTAAACTATTGTGTTCTAAAACATAAAAACAATAATTCTATTTATTTATTTACCTATTTATTTTGCTCCTCATTTTCTCTATGACAGCTCATTTTTGCATCAATACTTTTTCTTGTTTCAGAGCCTAAAAGGAAGAATATCAGAGGCTTAAATAGACACACACAAGAAGAGAATGAAGTGAGAGCACATCAGTTTATCATATCATATACTATCATTATCATTGAATCATAATTGTTTTAATAAACAAAACCTTTTGTTTTTGTTCCTAAAAGCAATCTATCTCCATTGTGTACATAAAGGCCAACTAAAGTATGCTGTGGAGCCCGGGTTGTGGGTTTTATCCCCAGTGGGGGATGTGCAAGAGGCAGCCAATCAATGATTCTCTCTCATCATTGATGTTTCTATCTCCCTCTACCTTCTTCTCTGAAATCAATAAAAATATATTTTAAAAAATCACAAAGGAACAAAGTTCCAACTACTTGCTCCAACCAAAGTTTCTGTCTCTCTCTTTTTCCCCTCTCACAAAAAATTTCTCCAAAGTATGCAAATATTTATTATGAAACATATTTCCTCTTTCTGTATAAAAGAATATAAACATGTTGGCTGACATATGGGCCCATGTGTTCCTTCACCGAGGTGTGATGAGACTCAGAACAGCATATGTGCCAGGTGATGGAGAGCTTGCCAGAGTGCAGGTGGGACTGTTGCTGTCTTGTGAAACAGGTGCACGAAAGCCCATGTGAATAGAAGGCCCTGTGAAGTGAACTTATGGTTACTCAGACCCACAGCACTAGCACAGGACTATTAAGTTCAGATTCAGCTGTTTATTTAGCACCTTCCATGTGAACTTAGTGGACTTTATAGGACTTAATCAGTCACAGAAATCGCTTTACAGAATGGAAATTATTCATCCATTTGAGATTTGAGGACTCAAAGAAATTAGGTAAACTTCCTATAGTGGTCATTCTTAAATTTTGGCATCATAAGAATTATTTGAAAATCCATTAAAACAGAGATTGCTGGGCATGACCATCCCACTCCCAGAACTTCTGAATCAGCAGTTCTGGGAGAAGCTGTATAAGTCACACTTCTCACATATTCCCAGCTGCTCCTGGTCCAGGAACCACTCTTCAAAAACCACTTTTCTAGTGTGCAGTGCAGTGCTGAGGTCCAAAACCCTGTAGACTGAAGCATGATACCCCCGTGCTATTAGTCAGAAACAGGAAAGCCAATGTCATTGTGCTCAAGAGGCAGGAGCAGCGTGCAAAACTGGATACCACACCAAGGAAGTCGGAATAGTTCTAGAACTCAGGAGCCAAGTCAGCGAGTCTGAGAGGATGGCCACAGGCACATCTGGACTTCCCCAAACAGGGTTTAAATGGCTGCCGGAGATGAAGTATGGGAGTCGGTTCATCAGAATTTAAATGTACAGAGTACAGTGGTCAGGATAAGATACCAGTTTTTGACTTTTAAATGTTTCATTCTTACTGTTTCTTTGTTATATGGTAAACTCAGTTTATACCAAAAGTCAATAACTCTAATCAGAAATGGCCAGTCTATGTGTGTGTGTTTTTGAATAGGAATAGGTGAGACTCCTTTCAACTCATATATTGAAGTTTTTTTAACCTGAACACCCCATTGATGATGGAGGCAGGGATGAGTTCAGGGCTAAAAGTAACTGCCCTTGACTTTGAAGATCTTACATCTAGTGAGATGCATCTACCCCAAATCAGAACATGACAGGGCTAGGAGGGAGGAGGGATTAATTAATTCCAGTTTGAGTAAAGCAGTGCCGAGAAGGAAGACACCTGAGAGATGAGCAGGAAGTTTCCTGGCAGAGACAGTGAAATTGGATAGGGACCATTGTCTAATATGTGGAAGGGAACATATTTTCCTGTTCCAAAGGGGATGATATTCTTTTACCTTAGACTCGTTTCCATCCATATTGGAGGAAAACTTTTTTTTTTTTAATTTTAACACTTCCAAAATGAAGGTAAATATATAGAATAGAAGGCAGTTAGAGAAAACACATTTTACAAAGGCAAAAAGTCTCCCTGAGTAGAAAACACTTGGTTTTATCTTAATCTCTTTACTGCTTACAACCCTCAAGGGAGCATTTCTTTTAGAGCTGTTGAATTCCCTGAATTCCACTGTGTGCTTGCACAAACTCCTTAGAGTCAGTGTAAAACAAAGGAAGGTTTTTGTTGTTGTTGTTGTTGTTGTTGTTTGTTTGTTTTTTGTTTGTTTTTTTTACCTTAGGGGCATCCTTTTTCATTCCATATGCAGTATATTGAGAAATTATCTGGATTAATGTTAATAAAATACAACACTTAAAATATGTATTGCTTTATAATTTCCACTAATAGACTTATATTAGTCCGCTTGGGCTGCCATAAAATACCACAGACTGAAGAGCCTAACCAACAGAGATTTATTCCTCACAGTTCTGGAGGCTGAAAGTCCAAGGTCAAGGTGCCAGTAGGGCTGGTTTCTAGTGAGAGCTCTCTTCCTGGATTGCAGACTCTCTCTCATTGTGTCCTCACAGGGCTTCTCTGCTGAGCACATAGGCAGAGAGAGAGAGAGAGGTATTTGGTGTCTCTTCCTTTCCTTATAGAGACACCAGTCCTACCAGGGTAGGGCCCCACACTATGATCTCATTAACCTTAATTACCTCCTAAAAGCTCTATCTTCAAATATGAATTCCAATGAATTTGGGGGCAACACAATTTAGTCTATAACAGAACTGTCAACTCCTCAAGGTCACATACCTTATTTAGTTTATTTTATCCCTTCCTCCCCCATATTTCCTACCCCATTTCCTAGTACGTGTAGATTATTTTGCTTGGATGTAATTTACATTTATTCTCTCAGTGAACCATCTCAACAACATGATGAAATGGGCAGGGGAATTATTATCATCACCCCAAATT